GAAGAGCTATAAGCAATTAAAATTTGCTGAGCGGTAGAGAGAAAGAGAAAGAGAGAAGACTAAAGTCTTCCCCATTGATGACTCCCCTAATTGGTTATCCAATACCAAGTGTCGGTCCTAAAAACATAAACACAAGAGGGAGCAACATTAAATGGTTTCAGCAAATATTTACATATTTATTTGATTATATATAAAAACACAATAATAAGGAGCCATGAATTTGAGAAAGAACGGTTAAGGGAGAGATATAGAAGGGTTTGGAGGGAGGAGGAAAATGATGTAGTAACACAATTAACAATAAAAGTCGACACAAAAATCTAAAAAAATTTAAACTATTTACTAATAAATTCATAGTAAAAATTTCAAAATACAAAGAATTACACAATTATAACAAATGACCATGGGACTTTTCAAGGGTCTGTAGTTAAAAAACTGAGAAGAGACAAAGTCACCATGCTGCACCTTGTACCTGCTCCCAGAATTATCCTCACAATTTGAATAATGTGCATAAAACAGTAATTACACAAACTCCACCATGAGAAGTGTAATGCCCTGCAGTCCCCCCGTAGTACGAACCATAGGGAACAGTGGGTTGGTTTCCTGATGAACTAAAAGTGTGACGATAGCAAGCCAGAACTTTTAAGAGAAATCTCCATTGTTAGAGAATCCAGATCCCAGCTATGAGGCAGATGTCCTAAAACACTCAGAGGATTACCCAGAGAAAGAGGAGAGGCAGGATGTTTCACCCTGATCTAAGAGAGCTTTTCGTCCCTTTCACAAGTGCTTAAGCTCACCCTGGGAAGTCAATCGCTAAAAACAGACACAGGTGCTCCAGGACTTACACACATTCAGGGGCTGGAAATATGGACAAGGAGGTAAAATGCTATCTACAGAAGCATGAAGACTTGAGTTCAGATCCCCAGAACCCATATTAAAAAAAAAAATAGGCTTGGTGGAACATGCCTATGATTCCAATGCTGGGAAGGCAGAGACAGTAGGATCCCTGGGAACTTAAAAAGCTAGCCAGCCTCGCCAATCAGTGAGTTCCAGGTGCACTGAGAGAACACTCTGAACAAGTGTTTCTCTCTCTTGACTGTGGTCACTCCTCCCAAGAACACTTCCGTTTGGTGTCACCCACACCTACAACAAGCTCTTACAACTTGAATTACTGAACAGATCTTCTTTAACTGCCAGCCAAAACCTCTGGCATGTTAAGTAGTTGTGACATGCTTCAAATGACCCCGAGGGGGAAATCAGATAAGAAACATGAACAGATTAAAGGGAACAACTGTCATGCCTAGACAGCCCAGAGAAGAGGTCACTCCAACATTTCTATCACCAAGGTGACAGATGAAAGCATCTCTGTCTAAAGTCCACACTCAATGAGTGATTTACGGCTAAACAGACACAGAGCCCCAGGTCCTTGTGAAAGAGAAATGAAATGCTTCTATACTCTGGGTACAAATGGCAAAAGTCTACTTCTTTATGATTTACTTTTTTAGTGGTGTCCTTTGTCACCACAACACTGCATAGTCACTTGACACCAAGTTTATCGACACATGTGCAGTGTAAAAAACACAGGCACTTGGAGGCTGGAGAGAGAAGTCCGTAGTTAAAAAGTACATGCTGCTTATGGAAAGGAAGCAAGCTCAGTTTCTAGCACCTACAACAGGAGTTCACAACACCCATATCTATAGCTCCAGGGGATCTGACTCTGGCTTGTGTGCTCTGTAGGCACTGAAACTGCTGTGCATATTCACCCACAGAGGCACACACATTCACATAATTAAAAGCAATAAAAATCCTTAGGAAAAAATCCACAAAGGTACATTTTATTACTTGCTATTAGCGAGTTCTATTCTGCGCACATTAATTATATCATTTGGCTTAAGATTCATAACTCTATTAGGTGGGTGGTGAAGTAGAAACAGAGATATCAAATATCCTGCCAAGGTCACACAGCTAGTCACATGGATCATTCTGCCGCTATGTACTTCATGACACATTATTCAGAGTGAAATTTTGAGTACATGTCTCAAAAGGAAAGGATTCAGAAATGTTTAAATCAAACAGAAAATATATTCACTGAGCTGACATTTAAAAAACAAAAAGAAAACCCTACACACACTCCAACAAGTTTCAGTATGCTTGCCAAAAAAGAAAGAAAAACCCGGCAAATTGATTCCAAGTCGCCTATAATTTCATTTATATTTAGAATATGAGCTGAGCAAGAGATGTGTATGGAATAAGTGTGTGTGTGTGTGTGTGTGTGTGTGTGTGTGTGTGTGTGTGTGTG